CGCGCTCATCTTCAAAATAACTGTTCCCGCACTAATAATGTAAATAACTATTCACGTAACTCTGCAGGTGCACCAAATATTTCACAACGTATTTCACATCGCGTTTTCGGCATTTTAAATGATTATTTAATCACGTTTTAAAACAATCAAAATCTTTATACACGTCACGTGTTACCCACCAGGGGGCAATGGTAGGGCTACGCGCAAGATACATGCGCCGATTGAGAGTCGTAAATTGCTTTGTTTGTAGGAACCCCAAGAAAGCGTTTTAGGACCTTGAAATTTTACACTGTTAATAAGTGCCACAAAATGCATATTTTAACCGTATAGGCATAAAAAAATTTGAAAAAAAATAATTCGCTCCAGCCTAATATACATATATGTTTCGGCAAATTATACCATTATCAAAGCCTACAAAAAGTTAATAATTAGTGGACAGCTTTTCGCTAAAAGCAAGTTTTGTTACGAAGTTAGACGGTCTCATGAAATTATTGGTAGTGAAGAATTATATTGATTCTATTGAATTCATTGGAATTGGAAATGAACCCGTTCGTTAAGCTCGTTTGACACAGTCAATTTTCTTGTTCAAGATTTATTCTTGTATTCTTAGTGTTGGAGTTGGCTCAAGTCAGCAGTTTTCAGACACACATCAGCCAGTATTACAGAGTCTTCGATCAGTAGTTGCAGAGAGTACATCGGTCAGAGTGCAGTAGTTGAGTAGTGTTATATCTAGTTCGATATTGTGCTGCGTGTACAGTGTCTCTATAAACCCGTTATAACTGTTACTATTTAGTGCTAGTATTTAGTGTTGTTACTCATAGTGATAGTGCTAGTAAATTAGTCATTAGCTCAGGGGCAACCTGCGCCCCCACACCCAAGTGGAGTGTATGAACGACCCGTCCAAGCCCACATGTTATTACCCCGCCGTTAACGAGATAATGGCGACCCTTCGTTCGAGTACGCAACCCCCTGTGCCACCCCCCACCGAAGACCAACTGCAGCCTTATCTGGATGAAAATCGAGAACTGAAGCGGCGCGTTGCACGAACCGTTCGGCGTTGCTTACTCCGAAACGGACAAAGCCGAAGCCCTTGCGGATTCCTTCGAGACCCAATGCTCTCCGATCTACGAGCACCTGGACGCAGACCACATCCAGCGAGTCCATTCCCACGTCAAGCGCCAACTTGCGGACTCGCCCCCAGCCCGGATCCCTCATACCACCCCGGGAGAAGTACGCAAGCTCCTCCTCTCCCAACTTAAAATGCGCAAGGCGCCGGGCCCTGACGGAATCCCCAACCGAGCCCTAGTACTGTTACCCAAGAAAGGAGTTGCCCTACTGACCGCCATCTACAACGCCGCCCTCCGACTAAGAAATTTTCCGCCCGCCTGGGAAGCAGACGTCATCCAGATCCTCAAACCCGGAAAACCGCCCAACACATCCCGGCGATCTACCGCCCCATCAGCCTTCTCTGCACACTCGGGATGATGTTGGAGCGAATCATACGGACGCGTTTACATCAAGAAGTGGAGGCTCTAAGCCTGCTCCCCTCCCATCAATTCGGTTTCCGGGCGCAACACAGCACGATTCATCAGGCCATGAGAGTTGTGGAGCACGTCACTGAGGGCTTCAGAAGGAAGGAGCACACCGGTGGCCTCTTTCTCGACATATCCAAGGCCTTCGATTCGGTATGGCACCGGGGTCTACAATACAAACTCCTTCGAGGTGGCGTGTCCCTCGCGTTGGTCCACCTGCTGGCTTCCTTTTTAAAGAGCAGATCCTTCAGGATCAAGCTCCCGACCTGCAAATCGCGGCCACGACAGATCACGGCGGGCGTCCCCCAAGGGTCGGTACTATCACAGACCCTTTTCAACATCTTCATGGCGGACATCCCCGAGACGGAAGGTTCAATTCTGGCCACCTACCCGGACGACACTACAGTCCTGGCCAGCTCAAGGAACTCGCTGCTTGTGGAGCGCAACTTACAGAGTGCGGCTGACCGATTAGAGGAATGGTATGCGAGGTGGCGTATCTTAATAAACCCTGAGAAGAGCACGGCCCTTCTTCTCCAAACGTACGGCCCGCCCTACAGAAAACATCTCCCTATTCGACGCCGAGATGTGAGATAGAAGGACTCCGTCAAATACTTGGGCTTAACCCTTGACCGGAAGCTACTCTGGAGGGCGCACGTCAGCGAGAAAAGATAGATTGGAGACGCCGCCATCGCCTGCCTATACCCGCTAGTCCGTAGGAATAGCGCCCTCTCGACCGACAACAAGCTGCTGCTCTACAAACAACTTGTACGTGTCCCGCCATCCTATACGCCGCCGAGGTCTTCGCCTTCGCCGCCCCCTCAGTCCTGCGCCCGCTACAGGTGGTCCAGAATCGATTCATACGCCTTGCCGTCAACGCTCCCTGGTTCGTGAGGAACGATCAGCTCCACAGGGAGCTAAACATCGCAACAGTCCGCGAGTTCAGGAGGGACACCGCAACCAAGTCCTTGAGAACCTCGCCAAACCACCCCAACCCGATCATCCAGGATGTCTGGGCCTACGACATCGCAGGGATACGAAGGCACAAGCGGCCTAAGTGTTCCGTGTGAACCTAACACCAACGTCATACCCCTGCGGTGAAGGTATAGAGGGCCGATGGCCCGGCGTACCGATTGTCACCTGATGAATGTGGAGTTGGTTCATTTAAAGGTCGTGTTTCTGTATGCAACCATGTCTATTCTTGTATAAGAAAATTAGTACGTGAACATGCGCAGATTGCGTTTTAAGTTATTAAAAAATATGTCACGAGAGGTCGATACCTTCGAAATAAAAATGTTGTTTTGTTGACGACTAACCTAACCTCAAAAGAAACGAAATTTTTGCGCCAAGTATGTCTACGGAGGAAGAAAACGATTTTTTACTTTTGGCTGCTGCTGCGACTATTGCGGTAACAGTTACCACAAAACGAAAAAAATCATCCAAAAAACGGTGGTCTCGAAAGTGGCTACAAAGGAGAGATCAAGGAAAAGGAATGCTGACAATGCTAAATGAGGAATTACTAATAGAAGATCCTGCAAGTTATACTAATTATTTACGTCTGGGACATGAAGAATTTGATATCTTGCTGTCTAAAATAGAACCGGACATAGCTACACAAGACACTATTATGCGTGAGAGTATATCCGCACGAAGTCGGTAAGCAGTTTGCATACACACACTCAGGTTCATGTTCCCAGCCCCCCCAGTATTAGAAAAAATGGTTATGACTAATTTAAAGTATTGTTCACGTTTTGTACCGTTTAGTTCCAATAACAAAAAATTTTGTTCTAAGCGTAACATTAGATAAGAGCTAGTTGAATTTGGGGGGGCCGATAACACGTCATCCCCCCCAACTTGATATTTTACAACTACTTTGAGGCAAAAATTTTGTATCGCTTTTGTGCCGTTTTGTTCTTTTATTAGAAAGTTTTGTTCTTAAATCGTTTGAGAGAGATATGAAAATGAAATTGGGGGGCGGTAAACATGTAAGCCCCTCCACATTGTTTTTTAAATATTGTTATCAACGCAAGGTTTTGTTCTAGTTTTGTGCTTTTTTGTTCCTTTATTAGAAAGTTTTGTACTCATCCCGTTTCATAGTAAAACGCAATTCAAATTGGGGGGGCTGCAGACATAACCGGCACCTCACTAACATTCTTTTATTTTTCTTATACCCATATTTTCTTCTAGTTTTGTACAGTTTTGTTCTTTTATTCAACAGTTGTTATTAATCCATTTGAAAAATATATCTACTTGATCGTTCTGGTAAATTGAAAAAGTGCCTACACAAGTACCACGGTCATTAATAATACAATGCTCATTATTTACATCCGCAAATTGTTGAAAGTAAATATAAGTCAACACAGGAAACACATTTATTAACAAAAATGCCGCACGTTGCAATTGTGGATATTATTGTGAATAGTGGTTTTTTATGAAACGTGAACGTTCATGGTGACTCGGAGGAGGCTTAAACTACTTGGCATTCTACATACCCAGACCTTCAACGGTAGACGTGAGACTTCTTTTGAGTGTAAGTGCGAAATATGCAGAGTTATTATCTCTTGCAATCCGATCACCGTCTTCAAGTGTGTATCTAAAGAATTGGATTATAAATATTCTCCAAAACATTTATATGTGATATTTAAAAGCAACAGATACAATATTTTAGATAAAGTAAAGGTATTTCCAGAACAAACTAATGATGGTGAAACTGAAAGTAGAGAAATGGTTCTACATGATGATTGCGAAGAATCAGAAGCACATGCGACTGATTACACTGATGTCGATACAAAGCATTTTATAATTACCTTATCTATAGAAGAATGGAATCAAATATCTCCACAAGAAGTGATATATCGCTCTAAAGATAAAAGTAACCCAGTATGTCTTACAAGATCATACGAAGTTTTACCTAAACACAGTGGGTGGACAGCTGTGATAAATTCACACTTTTGGGACCATCTAAAATTATCGTGTGGGGTTGTCGTTTAAAAGATGTAAAGTTTACAAGTCTGGAAATTGTTTTTAAAAAATATTTGCACATTGTACGGAATGTCAATCTAAATTTGAGGGAACAATGGCTAAAGAACCTGGTGCAGATAAAAGAGCATTATTATCGGTGACATAGAAAGGGGTTTTTAAAAAATGTTTCACATCTAAAAAACGTAGACTACTTGAAGATCAAAAAACTGCTTATGTGGACAGGTTGATTTCTTTAAAGGAATCTGCGTCGTCATTGCGAGGAGGCCATTTTCAGTGGCCTAAAGAAAGCAACATCAAGGGGCTGTAACCAGCCGCGTAGCGAGACGAAAATGCGCCCGTGGCGGAGATCGGTTATGTCGCCCCCGGTTTTTGCAATCATTCCCTGCTGAAGAGAATTTATTTTGCAAAATGTAGTATTATAAAAGTATAAATAAAAAATAACTCTAATATTGAAATTAATATTAAGTTGCTCGGAAGTCAGAACGAAAGTCAGAACTTCATTTTCCGAGCTTTCAAGACTGCGATCTCGTCCATTGCAGCGTTGAAATCTATTGCGTTGGTGAGCTCGTGTTCGATGGAGAGAATAGCCAAGTTTGATAATCTAAGTTGACTCATGGCTGAACGAAGGTAGTCCTTAATCAGTTTCAATTTCGAAAAACTGCGTTCGCAAGTTGCAACGCTGATGGCCAGGGTTAAGAATATCCTCAAGTAAACCACATTGTTCGGAACAGAATCGGCCAGACCAAATTGCTGTATAAATTGCAGTAATTCCAAAGGTCCTTGCAATTTCAAAGCTTCTGCTTCATTGCCAGCTTCAACAAAATGCCGTAGCCTCTCCCTTTCAATTCGGAATTCGTCCTGATCGATATCCGAAGGCGCATGTTGCAGGTCACAGGCGAAGTTCGGATCCAGTAGGTTAGACGGTGTTAGAAGAGAAAACTTGTTATCTAGCTCTTGGAGTTGCTTAAATCTCGAGGTAATTTCTTCGATGATTTTATCGACGGACTTGTATAGCTGCAGTTCAAGCTTCTGTTCAAAAGTTAGAACAGGTTCAGGTTCAATAGGAACAGGATTGCCATCGTCCATCCTCTTTCTTCTACAAATTCTGCGAGGTGCCAAATCAATGCAAAGTTTTTCACATATCTTTCTCGCGTATTCTGAACCGCCAGTAACCAAATCCTCACGTTTCTCTACTAGCCAGGTTTTCAAAGCAAGAATTTTGACAACGCAGTCGTGTAGGTTTCGACCTTTTCCTTGCAGGTAGACTTGAGCCGAATTCATTTCGGGCAAGATCGCACTCCATAACCCAAGGTAGGACATAAATGGCAACGTTTTTTGCATTGCGTTATACGGAATACCGGCGTCGGACCTGGTAGATGCATTTTCTGACGAAAACTGTGAAAGAGATTCCAGTACGTCGAGTATATCTTCGAAGTTGTTCTTGATTACACTTGTCGCTTTTTCTCTCGAAGACGAGTGTGTTTCCACTAGCCGTTTTACGCCACGACCGGTTTTTTCCAACAAGGCTGTCCACCGATGAGAGGAGGAAGAAAAGAACGCGTAAATACGTTCCAATGTTCCAAAAAACGTAACCGAATCAATAGAAATAGAAGCAGCATGGACTCCAACTAGATTCAATGAATGGTTGGTACAAGCAACAAACTGGGCCTGTGGATTCACGTCCTTAATACGCTTCTGTACGCCGGAATGAACACCAGACATAACCGCGGCATTATCGTATGCTTGTCCTCGGCAGTTCTGTATGTCAAGACCGTCCTTATCTAGCTTCGACAGAATTAGATTCGTCACTGAGCTAGAGAAGGGTGCGCTGCTGACACATTAGTAAGAAGGCGACAACAAGGGAATTGCGAGCTAGGGTGGTAGCGCCAAGGAAATTTGGTACTATTGCACGGTATTATTATTCTGCTAGGCGTGAAGCCAAGTTGGCGTTGCAAATGGACCGCACGATTCGGGACACCTGTTTCAAAGGATACAACAACTAGTAGGTTTCAACAAAGCCCATACAACAGGGATGGTATAACAATTTCATCGACAACTAAAGGCAGCCCTCATGTGCCACGATGAAAAAGAATGGACAGAAGTTCTACCAGTCGTACCTACTCCTAGGAATCCGGACAGCATGGAAGGAAGACCTAAAGCTGTTTTCCATAAGGACCTGCATGAATACGTGGTACAGTGTCGATAAACCAACTGCGCTAGGCAGGTTGTACTTGCAACGTATATCTTTTATTGACTGGTATACACCGAATGCGATCAGCCCCCGCTAATCCCTAATGCAGTACACTCCGCCTACTGAATAAGGGTAACAATGAGTGTTACCCGGACGCACGCGCGCACGGACACGGGGAACTTACACTCACACACACTTGCACTGAATAATGTTTACAGAGCAAATAATATAATACAACACAAAAAAAGACAACAAAATATAACGCGGCTGTTATTGACTCAATAACAGCCGCGTTATTGGTCGGAGGGTTGATCAATAACATGAGAATTGTTCTGTTTGCGGTCCGTGCAGAATTCATATGCCTAAGGCTTCACGAGCGTTCGTGTTCACCAAGCAGCTCTCCACTTCGTTGTTATCTGTGCCAGTCGTTGAAGTTGTGAAGATGGAAAACTCTCTTACAAAAAGATGTGATTCGTAATGTCCGTCGTTTTAATTTAAGTGATCGCATAATGTAGTTTGAAATAAAACCTGTACTAAAAACCCGTTAGTGAGTTGATAATTTACGATGTTTGGAATACGTCCATCTACCAGTCCAACAGTAGTGGGCTAAGTATCGAAACGTTTTGTTTTCGAGTAACATCTGTACAGCTACCATCCGGTTTGGGCAGATCCCGAAAAATTTCAAAGAAAGGATGCAGGGCAAGAATGGGTATTGTATTAACTAAGAATAGTAATTTGTGTTTACGGCGGGCGATCGTTGCTGCTATGGCTTATGTGGTTCACGACACCAATTATCACAGATGAGGACTAATAGAGGTAAAATACAAGACGAAAAAGCGACTAAATTGTTAGAAGAAACCAAAATCAAAATAGCCGATTGCGGAGCAGGTATACTCGAACTACAACGATTTCAGAACCAACTTCTCGGTTACAAACTAACCGTCTATTACGGAAGAAAAGGACACGATGTGATGTTCGAGGGCGATAGTGCAGGAAAACACCTGAATTTAATTTATCATGAAGGATACTACAACGTGATAACATCTTTAACTGCAGCCTTCGCTTGAATCTACTATTGTCAAGAATGTCACGTACCATACAATAAAACAGACTATTGATATGGGGGAACGTGTGCGGCGTGCCAGCGAAGTCCAGCATGTTCTAAAGGAGATGAAATTGATATCAATTGTAAAGAGTACAAAAGGGCGTTTCGGGATCAAAGGTGTTTTGACAATCCACAAGATACATCATATCTGTACATGTACCGAAATTAGTCGTGAAAAATGTTGTTTTACTACATACTGCAACACTAGAAAACATACTTGTGTAGAAGTATTTTGTAAGACTTGTAACAATTATGTGCAAAGAGACCACTCATTCTATATGCCGACAGATAAAGGTACTCCGAAAATGGCGAATACAGTTTTTGTGTTCTACCATTTAGAAACATTTGCAAGAGGAAAAATTGGAAGAAGAGTGTCTTACATCAACCGAATCTATGTGAGTTTGTACAGTGTTGTGATACATGTATATATGAAAAAACTTTATTTTTGCCAAAAGTGGGGTTATCGTAAAAAAATGCAGGCTGGTGATGTAAGATCAACATGTATGGCGCACATTTTGAATTTAAGAAAAAGATTCTAGCGCGTCATCGTTTTGGCCCATAATGGTGACGGTGTCGATCATCAGTTTATTTTAGTCACTCAAACTCGATTGGAATTCAACGCAGTCGTTTAGCTGAGGGTCAGATCTTCTTACATAATGAATGAGGACGAACGAATATCCAGATGTGAACAAATATGGAAAATGCCCAATAGGTTTTCTTACAGCAGTTCATATTGGGGAAGGATGTAAGAAGTTAATTAATAAATTTAATTGTGAAGGTAAATTTACTCTTGTAATTTTTGTTTCTACATATGTATGTGGAAATTTGGAGTTTCTAGCGATTAATTTGTTGTCAAATTCAGGTCCTTGTTCCACGGCGGACCTTTACTACTTAAAATTTTTTGAGACGGTGCCCAGCATCACGATAAACGTAGTAACACTAATGGGTTATTTTAATGAATATACAAACAAATTTTTGGGTATTAAACTCCCGAGAAGAAGGATAAGTATGTTAGGAATTATTTTGAGACCGAAGGTGATAAGCTTAACCCGAGCAAAATAGAAAAAAGAATCCAGGGGTGCGACAATTAGGGAAAGCTAGGGCAGCGTGAGAATCAAAGTAAAACTAAAGACAACCAGGTGAATTTTATAACATCATTGAAGTCTATACAAAAACAGATGGCGACTCCGGAATTATAGGTTAGAATAGAGACCCACTAGGGAAGCGTTAATGACACCCTATAACTCCAACAATTCGCAGTGTTGACATTTTAATTATGGAACGACTGTAGGGAGCTAATTAAATATAGATGGCAGCACGCCGAGTACACCTCGCTTACGAAGCGAATGATGACCGGGAAGTGCAACTAACAACCCCCGTAGTAACATCGACTGAAAGTACATGTGTATCACCCCCAGTTATTCCGGCAGTCCTTATACCCTCTACATCTTTTCTGCCTAATGGAGAGCATCAATATTTTCAACATTTCCACTACGATGTTTTTATTAATTTTAATTTGTACCTGTCCTCGTATATTAATTTATCTTGTCCAAATATTTCAATCTGTATTTATCATTCAGCAAAAACATTTTAGACGGTAAGCAACATCACCTAAAATAACAAAAGTTTGTACGTTTTATATTTCAGCTTCGGTCTGACGATGAATTGGTAGATTCGAAATCGATAACCTACAGAATATTAATTAAATTATTTGAAAATTCACTTTTTAATCTACGAAACTATAAAATTTGGTGTTTCAACGACGCACGCGATGCCGATTTTCTTGATCTTTCCATATGACCCATTTTGTGACCGTAACTGAAAATCAACCCCACGTAGTAAATAAATTTCAATTTAAGCTGCGCCAAAACTAAAGGATAGTTGTAAATTAAGCAATAAGAGGGTTAGCCAATGATTAGGCCTTTCATTAATAGTTTACACGAAGGAAATGATACCCTAAATGTTGCGATGAGGTTAAGTAGACAAGACAGTTACGGCTTTCCGTAGAGCTTTCGAATTAAAATGTTAAGACACTTTGACTTTCCGAAATAAATATTAACGTACAATTTTTCCAGAATTATTTTGTAGGGAGTGAGCTAAGCTTAAGGACTTACTACAATACCTTGTAATTATGTAATAATGATTAGCTGCTGGTCGATGCCTATGTATTTATTTGTATATATGTGTTACGGTTTTTATTATACATGAAATCTATTTTTTCTAACATGTTAAGACTGGTTTAATTTGAACAAACGATCTCCTGTGAACTTTTTCTGTGCACCTTTCCTTTATTTATTATTCTCGGGAGTGTTTATTCTGAGCGAAAGAGTACAAAAATAAGCTAACTTTAACGAATTTTATACAACGTTCTTAACGCAGTAAAGAAGTATGGCAAACATATGTAAAGTTGAAGAAGTGGTTGTACGTAATCACGTCACAATCTAGAAACAACATATGCACAAGCAGAATCCAGCCGTAAAGGATAAAATTGCAAAACCCAACTCTGAAAGGATAAAAAAAACCGTACGTGTATATAAAGTCAAGGAATAGCATATGGAATAGAACCAGAAAAGTAGATAGTGTTATCTGTAAGTGGAATCGGAATGGTAATTGGACGTGTAAAATACTTCTATTCTTTTGTGTAGAACGTCTAAATTGGATATCGAATTTTCAATAATTCATGTTTGCATAGCTGCACCATACGAGGGTGTTTTACAAATAGTAAAACTCTCAACTAAATTGCTAACGAATGTTTCTTGTAGACGATTACACAACTACCGATTCGGTTAATTGCAGTTCCTATCTAAATACAGCATTACTATCAATTTTGTATTACAACTATCAATTTTGTATGATGCTTTTAGTCCACTGTAAATGTTCAAAATTTATCCTTTAATTTATCGTGCGTTATGCGGCACTCGTAAACAAGAACTATTATTGTCAAGAGCCATTACTCATGATTTAGGTAGCATGCGTGATTGGAAGGAAATATATAGTCTCGGAAAGTTTCTTTTAAGGGGCACATTGTACAAATTTGTTGTCACTGCCCTTATAATGCCCTTAAGTCATAGTCTTTAGTTTTTCAAAAAAAATTGTCTTTTCATCATTAACTTTTCACTTTTCTATGTAATTTATTTATTTATTATTATTATTGCCCAACAGACAAAACATACGTTGAAACTAATTTGGTAAATTATAAAATAAAATAACACAAAATACGTTTGTGCTTAAATAAAGCGTCTAATTTAAACATCCTCTCCAATTACAAAATTGATACGTCACCTGAATTATACCTTTAAATCATTAAATGCTGTCAGATGCAGGTAATACATCGTCTCCTTTATGTATGATGCGGGTCACTCTAATTGGGCGCGAGCTATTGAGGGCCCAGAAAGGGAGAGGGATAATAAATAAATAAATGCAAAC